AATTTTTTTTTTATTATTAAGTCGCAATTGGAAAAAATAAAGAACTGCCATATAATGAGCAATTTGAGTTTTAGAAAGCATTTTATCAAGCATTACTCTGTTCATGAATTTAATCATCTTGCATATATTTTCATCTTTGGTCAACTTTGATTCAGTACTATTATCATTTCTGACATCTTCGGTCAACTTTGATTCAGTACTGTTACCACTTTTGATATCTTCGCTAATAGTATAGAAGAATTGTGAAATTTTTGAACTTTCTGCTATCACTTCCCTTAATTTTTTATTTTTTCTTTGCTGTGTCCATTTCAAATCACCAGTATAAATAGCTGGCCACTCTTTTTTCTCAAAGCTTGCTACTGCCACTGTAAAAAGCTAATTAATTATAGAATTCCCATTTGCCTTGACATTATCTAACTCATTATTATTCTCTTGAAAATTATCTTCAAGGTTATCGTCTTCAGAACTGATATTTTCATATTCCTCACTTGAGCCAAGATCAATAAGATTCTTGAGAGAGAAAATATTTGAAGAAGTGACAATATGCGAGTATTTTTTGCTCGAATCAAGATCAACTAGATTCTCAGAATGAGAATAAGTCGTAAATGAGTCAACTAGATTCTTGAGATGTGAGTAAGCTGTAGATGGGTCAACTAAATTCTCGGAATGTGAGTAACCTATAGACAGGTTAACAGAAGAAAGAGAATTATGAGGAGAATCAAGAACAAGAGAGAATTTCATATATGCTAGCTGGGCTAAGTGAGTTATAAATGCTCTTTCCCATTGGTGCCTTTTAAGCTTTGAAAGCCTTGGCATAATAAGAAAATAACGCCCTTAAAATAATAAAACAAATCTCTCAACAATAAAATAATCACCTCAATCTAATAGAACAATCTCCCATAGCATGCAGTATTACTGAATGTTTTGAAAAGTATGCATTATTACTGCATATAGTCCAAATTGACATTATAACAATGCTAGCCTAAATTATAATTAATATAATTAATTCTGACTAATAAAATCGCAAACACGTGATAAAAGCATATGTAAAGTTGATATATCTCTGTGCCAATTTTCTAACTTTATTATAAAAATTAAAAAGTTTGATATGTTATAACTTCTTAAAAAAAATTAAAATAAAAAATGCTCTTATAGAATTATAGCTTTACTAAAGATCTATCAATTTGTAAGAGGATTTTTTATTTTAATTATTTGCTCAAAAGTTATAAGATTTTTTATAAGCCAATTAAAAGTGGATATCTTATGCTGTCCCACACTGTATAAATAAAATAAGAATAAATAACTTAATTAATAATTTATTATATGAAATTATTACTGAATAGTTAAATAATTTATGATATAAAGCTTGAATTATATATTCATATATTTTTTATATATATATTAAATATATTTTATCTCTTATAAAAAGTATTAGAGTTTCTTGTAAAATAAATAATAATATAATATAATAATATTTTTTTTAATTATTTATATTATCTTTATATATCTTTTTAACTTAAATTTGTATATAATATTTTAGTTATAATTAAAATAATATAAATAAATATCCAGCTTTAAAATCTTATTTTTAACTTCTTATATAACTTTAAAGTTAATCTCTCATATAGCAGAAAGTTACTTTATATTATAAATTTCTATATTATTAAATTTTTGAATTATATATTAATTATTATTAATAATAATAATAATAATATAATATATTAATTTAATAATATAATTTGCAAGAGAAGAAATAATTCTTTTAAATTTTTTCTCAAATATTTCTATTTCATTATTATTTTTAATAAATTCATTATCTGTTTTTTTAATATATCTAATTATTATTTCTTGTACTTTTTTAAATAAATATTAGTTAAATATAAGAATTTTTTTATTATATATTATTATTTATTTAATATTAATACTAGATTCTTGATTAAAATTATCATAAATCTTCTTTTCATAATCAAGTGAAGCTTTATATAAAAATTCTATAATTTTTTAATTTTTAATTTATTTTTGATTTATTTAATATAATAACTTGAATAAAACTAATATTATAATACTTTGACTTATAGTATATACTTGTATATATATATTGTAATAATAATATTTGATTAATAATTATTATTGTAATTTTCTTTTTTAATTTCAATATATATTTATATATATATTATTATTATTAAATAAAAATAATATATATAATTCTATTAAGAAAATTGAATTTAGATTAATATTAAAGATTCTTTATTTTTATATTTAATATTTTAATAAATACATATTAAAATTTATTATTATTAATTATTATTATTATTATTCTTATCATTATTCTTTATAATTATATTATTATTTTTTATAGATATTTTAGTAATTATATATATGTATAATCTAATTGATAGCTAAATTATTATTCTTCTTATCTATTATCTTTTTCAAATAAATAATCAGCTTTTTTTCTTATCAAATCTATTAATAATTAATTTTCTATATTATTTATTAATAAATCTAATAAAAAATAAGAAATAAATAAGTATAAACAAGAGCAAGAATAAGAATTAAGTAAAAATAAAAAACTAAATAAATAAATAAATCAAAGTAAGTTAGTGAATAAGTATAATAAGAGCAAGAATAAGATAATATATGAGCATAATATCTAACTTTTAATATTTATATTTTAAATAACTTGAACTTTTAGAATTATAAAAATTTAAATAAGATGATTTATTAACTTGATAATATTTTTTAATAATAAATAAACTCAAAATTAAAAATATTTATTAGAATATTAATCTTTATTTCAAAAATTATTGAATATATACATTTTAATATTCTATTACTAATAGTCTTATATAATTATAATTTAACTAACTTATCCAATCTGAAGTCTTATAATTGCTCCTGATAATTTATAATTCATCTTTATATATAGTTTATAATTACTTCTGGTAATTTATAATTACATTAATAGTTTATAACTATACTAGCTGCTCTAAAAATCTTTTCAAATTAGTAAAATAGAAAGCTCTATAATATTACTATTATTCTATACTATAATATAATGAATAATCTTTATAAATAAGATTATTCTTAACTTTATTTTTTATTTCTTTTCAAACTTATATATAAGAAAGTATTCATTTTATTAAATTATAATATAACATCTTATAAATATAATTTCTATTTAGGAATCTTTAAAATAATAATTAAAGAAAGTTATTATTATAATTTATTATAATTCATATTCTTGAATATTCTTATTATAATATATTTCTTATGATTTATCTTCAAATATACTACTCAATATTTAGATTGATAAAATATACTATATCCAGAATATTATATAATATCTTTTATAATTAATTTTTAAATATACTATTTAATATTTAGCTTTTTTATTTATATCATGAATTTATATAATTAGTTTTATTTTTATAATAACTATCAAATATATCTCTATTATTTTTTTTAAATCTTTAAAATCAATATAATTATTAATATTACTATTATTTATAATATTAGAAGTAGTATTTAAACTTATTTTAATTTTAAGTTTATTATTGTTAATATTATCTTTTTTTTCAAATCTGTAAAAAATATCTCTTTAATTAGTTATAATTACTTGATTATAATCAAAGATTAAATATTTCTCAAATCTATTTTAAGTATTAGATATATTATAATATTTGAATGATTAAGAAATGATTTTTGGATTTATATTTTCTCAAGTAATTTTAACCTATTGTGTAATAACAGAATATATAAGATATTAAATATGACCAGCAAGAATAAGTTGATGAACTTTTTCAGTTATTTAAGTATTATATTATTAACATATCTGTATTAATAAAAAATAAAATAAGATAAAAATAGTTTAAAGTATTATACTTTTATAAATTATCTTTGTCTTGAAAGATTTATTTAATCCAACATCTAATGGTTAAAGTTTTGAGATTAATCTATCAGGAATAACTGTAATATTAGTTACTTTTTCATTAAAATATCATTTAACAAAATCAACTAGATATCTAACAAAAGAATCTAATATTAAAAGAGACTGAAAATTAACAGATAATGATATTTAAGCATTTCACATATTCTCAATTCAAAATAGTATTTCTTCTTTATTCATCCATCCTTTTTTGTTGGCTCTAATTATTATATCTGATAGAAATTCTTGATTTTGTAAAACTTTAGTCAGCTTGAATATAATTATAAATAATAATTTTTTACCATCCGTCATACATACTAAAATAATCATAAAATTGGATTTTTCATGTCTATAAATACAAATTCCAAGTATATGAATACCAATTTTATTAATCATTATTTGATTTAAAAGATCAAAAAATATAGGAGTTTTATTCATATTACTAATTAAAAAAGCTAGATAATCAAATTGCATTCATTAATACAATATAAATACCAAGAATTCATATTATTTTTCTTCAAGATCTTCAGACAAATATTATGCTATAGTTATTCAATGATAATTACTTAAATAATGATGACATAAAAATTCATCCAACCATTTGTTGCTGAAGCTAAACTGGTCAATGCTAGGATACATATCCTTAAAAGAGAGAGATCTGGTAAGTGTTTTTGCTTTAGTTTGAATCATATTTCATGATACTTCTTTGAGTTGTGATCAAAGATCTCTAATCCATTCTTCAAGATCATTTTCGAGCTCAGGATACTTGGATCTTGCACCTATATTAAGTTATCTAACTTGGAGCTAGGTATTCATAAGCAAAGTCTTGTTTTTTTTCCATTTTCTAATTTGTACTGGCTCGATATTAAACTCGTTGGCAGTTGCACGCACACTTTCTATTGGATGCTTCTCCAAATAGGTTAAAATTGAGAGTTTTTTCATGCACTGTCCATGATCTTTTTTTGGTTTTAAGAACAGTATTCTTTATTCGTATATTTTATTACTAAAATTTATTTAGATTATTAATCTCGTTAAATATATACAAATTTTCCAAACTTTTCTTACCAGGTAGATGCGAAAAGACGTGAAAAGACGTGAAAAGACGCGAAAAAATGGGTACTGATCATTACCTTTTTAATCCAAATTTTGAATAAGTAACGCGTCAAAATTTATTTTTTGTGGCTTAGCAGTCTAATTGATTATACTCTGAGCGCTTCAAATGCACTTGTCGACCGATTGTCTCAACTCATTGAAAGTCCACGGTAAGTTAAACTGTGGTAGTGGTTATTTCTTATAGAATGATTTATAATGTAACTTGTTGTCTATGAATATGTAGACTTTTGGGAAAGTACAAACGATCCTTCACTTGAAAAATTTCTAGATTTTAGATTCCAAAAAGGTGTTCTAAAAGATAAAAAATCCGAGTATCAGCATTACAAAAGTGAATTGGATACGATCAAAAGGTACTATTCTGAAACGTCCGAGATCGGGAAAAAAGTAACACAGTTAATTAATTCATTTAAGGCAAGTTTTATTTTTTTGATTGATTAAACAGCCTGTGTCGTATTAGTTCTGTCGCCAACTACCCTGTCAAATTGCGATTGGCAGTGGGAAAAGACCGCGGTCAGTTGGCGAGCATAGAATAAGTTGTATGTTAGTCACTTTTAGAGCTCCGTCATCAACTACCCTGTCAAATTGCGATTGGCAGTGGGAAAAGACTGCGGTCAGTTGGTGAGCATTGCAGTGAGCTGTATATTAGTGGGCTGTTAATGTTTCAACGGACTACCTGGAAAGGCTGCGTGTTTGTCTGTTGTTTTAGGCCGGTCAAATGCTCTCTTTAATATTCTCTTACATTCTTTCTATAACAAGCTCGATAAAAAATCGCAATTATTAATTTCTTTTTGGGATTTACAAACGAAGAGACAAACCATTCATATGGAAAGCAAGATACATGAAGAGAAAGCTCAGTTGCAACAAGTAAGTTGTCTTTATGATATATCTGAAATTTAATGGCTTGTTGTTTTGACACACTTCCTAACAATATTGGATTTAATCTGGCAAAGAACGAACTAGAAAACCATATTCGTCTCGAACGGGTTAGTATGTTTATTTTGATACCTTATTACATCTGATCTTAATATTGTATTCTGAAAGGTCCATTACAGACCCGACAGATTCTGGATGCAACGAAAGATATCCGAAAACAAGATCATTTACTGCGAGAAACAACTGCTAATCTGATCGAAAAAGATCTGTTGTATGAGTCACATGCAGGACAAAAGCGATCTTACGAGCCTCAAGAAACAATTTTAGATTTCGAAAACAATCTGTTTTTAGACAAAGAAAACAAAGATGAGGTATTATAATTTCAAAGTTCAGATTATTTATACCAATCCAAGATAGCCCTAATTAATGATCCTTTTTAGAAGCGTGAATTGCCAAATTACTCCATATCTGAGTTTGATGATGCATCTGGGGATTCTAGCAATGGAACTCTCAATAATGGTAATGAAGATATTACAAAAGAAAATCTTGAAAATGATGAGGACGGTTTCATGAACGATCTTGCAAAATTAGAATATAAAACGAAGTTCCTTAATATACGTTCAGATAAGAAGTGGAGGTTGCCTTCGGGCAATTATGTCGAAGATATCTTGTATGAATACGCGAAAGACTTGCCATATGAAAATCAATTACATAGTTTCATAATCGACACCAGTAATGAAACTATAATGGGCCTTTTCAATGATGTTGACTATGAGCATATAATTACATACAATACTTCCCCTGAACCCGAGCTATCAAACGAATTGATTGATTTTCTTATGAGATATCGTAAATTTGGGCCTAACGAAGTGCGAGAAGTGATCAATTCCGGCATCAATATCTCTCCCTATGATTCCAAAAAACATTTTAATTTTCACTATATCCATCAAGTTTTTTCGCAACTCCTTCCCAGATACGAATTGAGACCGAAAGACTTCACAAGAAGCCATTTGGAAGGATGGTTCACTAGCAATATTTGGAGTGTTATGGTGGATGCCTGCCTTATTGATCTTGAGTCAGTTGAATTTATTCGAGGTGAAGGCAGTTCTCGTGCTTCAAGTCTGCGAAAAAACTATATAAGAAAATGTCCAAAGGTTAAAAAGATTATGGGACGTAAGTGTGATGGGATTGCTCGGGATTTGGGATCGCCAGAAGAATTTGCAGTTAGCGAAGAGGGCCACACTTGGACCGGAGAAGACGGCACCAAGTATTTATCTGACGGGTCATTAAAGATGCCAAAAGTAATGCGCGATATGCTATTTCAAAAAGTAAAAAAGCATGGCGTTGGTTTTGTTAAAACCAATCAGCTCGAAATCGTTGGCTTTTTGCATTCCGGTAATATTTTTTAATATATACCTTTATATATATACACACAGACTAATGCTGTTTTATTACAAGCTCAATACCTTCAAATACTTGTAATGGATATTCCATCAGGATACATGTGTCGGCTTCGTAGATATCCTTCTAGCAAGATACCAACTGTTCTTTCTGAGATTGATGATCTTATTTCCATGGTCTATGATGTGCTTATTGCAAAGGTAATGGTTTATTAAATTATTAGCTAATATCATATATAGCTTATATTTATCTATTATTTATCCAGCTCCGAATTACTCGATGTTTGGACCATTTAAGTAATTCGAGTAATGAAACTCCTAATGAAGCTTTGAAGAAGCGCTTAAAGAAAAACGCTATAAATCTACGGCAAGAAAATGATGATTATGACTTTCCGAACTCACAGAAGACTCCCAAAAAAAGAAGGATTGAACAGCCCCCAAAAAAAGGCTGAACAAGAAACTCGGGTTATCATATTTGTTTTACATAATGATATCAAAATTTATTTGCACTAAATAAAATTCTCATCAAGATGATTAAATGCTATATTATCAATACTGATGTTTATAAAATCAATAGTAATGCTCAAAGGTATACTTCCATAAATGCTTTGAATAAATTTAATCTTGATGTAGACATGCTAAAAATAAATCGAAGTTTAGAACGAATATATTTTTTCCCATTGGAATGGAGTTGATAAATACGTGTAAAGCTTTTTCAGCGTCACAAATCTACAACTTAAGAATCAAAATAGATCATTCCTGCGCATATGACACACTGCGCCGGCCCAATTCTGTATAAATTTGAATCATTAGTATAATCTTGATAAAAAAGTTGCTATAGTGCATACAAAGCTAAAATCAACCACAAAATTTCAAATTCCTACTACTTCTTTAAAAAAAAATTTTTTAACTAAAACTCATTATTATTCAATAAAGAAATATAATAACAATTAGCTTTTTTTAACTCAAGTTATAAGAAAAGTTATAGATGTTTGAATTTTATTAATTATTATTAGTAGCGTTATCAAAATTGAAACATGAAATCAAAAGAATTTAATTAATGATGATAGATCATCTCATTTTTTTATATATCTAAAAGAAAAAAGCAGATAGCTGTTATATTAGAAACTCAAAGAAAAAAGAAGTCTCATTTAAGAAATAAACTTAATGAAGTTAATTATTCAGATAATGACTTTAATTATAAATTCAATATTAATAAAGATAATGATCAGGTTACAGATGAAGACAAGCAAAATCTGAATGAATAAAAATAAGAGACTTTTAATATACATAAATAATTTGAGAATAACAAGATGATGACATAAAATCTCTATAAAAAAAGTAATAATATAAATACAAATTTTGCAGATATTTTTCAAAAAGATCAATAAGAAAAAAACTTTTCTTAAATTATTCAAGAAATCTGAAATTAATATTAAGAAAAAGAAAGTAAAGATGATAATAAAAGAAAAGATCTCAGTAAAAGAGGAAAAGATAATGATAATAAAAAAGAAAAAGAGAAAGAAAAAAGAGAAGAAGAAGAAGAATATTCTAAAAATTATAGTTAGAGATTTTTAAAAAGAAATTTAATGATAAAGTATCTCTATTTTCAAGTTATATTTTTAATTAATAAATTAATATCTTAATTTTTTTAATAAAAAATAGTCAAGAATAAAGATGATAATAGTAATTAGTAAGATTCTTGGCCAGGAATTATATTATACTAAAAATATTTGAATATAAATAAATAATTATATTAGATTTTGAATACTTTCAGTAATTAATATAAAAATTTATTTTCTTATTTATATGAATATATATTTAAATTTATTAGTTATTAAATAATAAGAAATAGTCTTCATATCAAAACTATTATATTTTTTTAAGATAAAAATATTATTAACAAAATAAAATCTTTTATTTAATTTAATAAATTTAAAATATCTTTAATAATTTTGATAGATTTTATAAATAAAAATATTCTCTTAGATAAATATATTATAAATAAATTTTTTTAAAATAAAATATATTATTTATATTTATTTATTATATCATAAAAATCTTGAATTTAATTTATTTTTAATAATTTATATTAATATAATAAATAATTATTTAAGATTATTTGACTATAAGTTTTTTCATATAAAAAAATATATATTAATAATTATAAATAAAAAAATATTATAGAATGTCAGATAAAATTTTTATGTAAAATATTAGAATTAAAAAAATTAATATTAGTATTTAATAATAATAATATAAAGATAAAAATATAATTAGAGTTATTTTTTGAAGAAAAATTATATATACTTATTATATATAATAAATATATATTTTTATTATATAATAGAATATTTATATATTAGATATCTAAAAATAAGTAATTATTAAGAAAGAAAGAATAGAGATAATTATTATACAGTGTGGTCCATAAGTATCCAAAAAATTTTTTGCAGAAAAAAAATATGCATATCTTTATCAAATTAAGGCTGATTTTCACAATTTAAAATGGAAAAGAATCATCATAAGTAAGTTATTCATGGAATTTCTTCATGATACCATTTCTTTTATTTTTTTTCTTTTTTACTTTGGTATAATTATGACTTCCAAGCAAGAAATTAACCATCAATTTATTTTACAATTGTGGAATTAGGACATTCGAGATGTCAAAGAAATCCATACTATAACCAACATATCCCTTTCAATAATATACAATAATATTAATAAACTCAAAAAATATAACACAAATAAATATGCTAAAAGTAAAGGTAGACCCAAGAAGATAACTGTACAAGCATCAAAGGCATTAGATCAATATATACAAAGAGATTCATCTATTTTAATGAGAACTCTAATGACAAAATTATTAAAAATCGATATAAACGTATCTTATCAAATGGTTGGAAGATATTTGGCTACTCTCGAATATAAAAAAGCACTCCTACTAGAAACACTGATGCTTACTGATGCTCATAAATATAAATATGTGATATGGGCTCACAAATATCTTAATGATAATTGGGATAATACTTTCTTTTCAGATGAAATAGCTTTTAAATTCTTTTGGAATATGGTAGAGCACTGGTACAAGGAAGCATGGCCAATATGGGGAGGATTTTGTATAAATGGTAAAAGTAATTTATTTTGTTTTTCTAAAATTATGAATATCAAATTCTACGTTAATATTCTTCGTGAGCATACTTTAAAAATTAAGCAATTGATAGAAGATGAATAGCAATTTCAACAGAATAACGATCCAAAACACACAAGTCATCTTGCCAAAGTATTTCTTGAAGAAACCATACCCAAAGTTTTGGACTGGCTATCTAACAGTTCTAATTTGAATCTCATCGAAAATCTCTAGTATATTGTTAAGAATAATATGGAAAAGTGTATGCCAAAAAATTTAGATAAACTACGTCATTATATGATAAATGAATAGGTGGATATTTCTGAGTTTACTCTAATTAATTTAATTAGATCTATGAGATATCATTGTGAGCTTGTTATAGAAAGTAATGGTGAGCGTATATCATATTAAAAATAATATAATAAATTAACTGGTCTTAATCTTTGAAATGCATAAATTTCATGTGATTTAAGTTATTGATTGTGATGTGATGAATAATTTTTTAATTCTGAATACTTATGAATCATACTGTATATTAATAAATTTTTGATAAATATATATAGATATTTAAAGCTAAAGATAAGTTTTATATTATAAAAAAAATATTAAAGATAGTATAAAAAATAATTTAATTATTAATAAAAAAATAATAGATGATTTAAAATTAAAATAGAAAAAAATATATAAGATATTTGAATTATATATAAATAATACTTAAAAAAATTAAATAATATTAATATTTTTGATAATTGAATATTTATTAAGATTTAGAATTATTATAATTAATATAATAATATTTTTTTATTAAAAAAACTCATCAAACTATCTAAAAAAATATGTATTATTATAACTCTAGATATCAGTAATAATAATTAGTAGACAAATAAAGATCTTGTAAAATAAGTACAAAAAAATAATTCTTATTTTTAAAAAATAATTTTCTAATATAATTAGAATTTTTATTTTTAATAATATAGTTAATTATTTAATCTTTATATCTGATATTCTTGTAATTAAAAAAATAAATTTATTATTAAAAAAAAATAATTAAAATAAGATATAATAACTATATAACTAATATATTATTATTTTATACTAATTATATTTAATTTTTTTAAATTCATAACTTTTAAAAATAAAATTTTATAAGATATAATTTTTTTTTGAATTATTTAAATATTTTACTTCAAAAAAAGTTAAAGAGATTATATATTATATTATTAGAATATGAATTATAATAAATAAATCTTTATTTAAAATATAAAAATAAATATGAATTAGATATTATAAATTATTATATAATTATAATTATAGCTAATTAGACTAATTTTATTGAAAAAAAATATCAATTAGAAAAAATAATTATTATAATAAGATATAAAGTAATTTTTTATTTTAAATTTTATTATAAACTTAACTATATAAAGAATTTTTAAAGTACTATACATATGTAAATTATAATTATACTTGAAAAAAATTATAAAAAACTATTCTAGATTCAGTTTTTTTGTTAATTATCTAATATTTTACTAAGAAAAATTTTTATTATATAAATATATATTACAAGAATTTAACTAGAAAAATTACTAAATATATAATAAAAAGTATTATTTATATCAGATTTAGTATTTAATAATATTAATAATATTAATATTATTAATATTATCAATATAAATAACTTGTTAAATTAATTATGTGACTTTTTGTAATATTATATTAAATCAACTTTTTTATAAATTTTAAAATTTAAGTTAAAATTTTCAAAATTTGAAATATATTATATAATTAGTTAATTTTAGCTTATATATATTATATATTTTTTATAAAAAAATTTTTATTAATAATAACTTTTACTAATAATAACTTTTTTTAATTATTATTTCTTAAATTTTATTATATAAAATTTGATTAAAATTAATATAAAAATTATA